GCTGAGAGGAAAACTGGACAAAGGCCTCTCCTTACCTTTTCCCTGTGAAGTCTGTGATGAAGGTGATTCCATTCTCCACTATATCCAAACCTACTGATGAAAGAAGAATTATGAGATTTACACTAACATCAAGTAATATATATATTTTCACCAGATGAAACATTAGTGACAAGTTTAAGGGTAATGATGTGAACAATCACAGGTTATTATTATAAACGACACATCCGTCTTAGACAGTCACCTGTAAAGAACTGGACGATGTCGTCCTCCGTACATGTGAAGGGCAGACCCCTAAGTCGGACCACGGCACTGTCATCTGCAGCCGCCTGTAGGGCTTTCTTTAGAATGGCTTCGGCATCACTCTTCGTCACTTCAAATACTGCAGATAAATGAAAAATGTTTATTTGTACGTACAACTTTAATCCTGAATATTTTTTATTTTTAGCTGTCAGATAACAAAAAAAAGCTTTCTTCAATACATAACTGACAAACTGGCTTATTTCAAAAACAGCATAAAGAATCATAAAGAAAATGAAATGCTTCAGTAGTCGAGTGTCTAAGGTACAAACTGTAAGAACAGAATTATCATTCCTGTAAACCTAATAATAATAATAATAACAGCACCAACAACAATAATGTTTTTGTGTAACGTGGTAATGTTGCATCACCGACAACTAAGGACTATATGTTGTCAACTGGATTCATGATTCCCAACGCCACTAACCTTCTACGTATCTTGAACCGAGGTACTGATGGTGCTGCTCTAAAGCTTTGCTTACGTCCTTTCTGTGCTCCATCTCAATGTGTCACGTGCGGGCATCGCAGGAAGCAGACAGAACCCAAATGCAGTACTGGTGAGACACTTTCTGGTGCAGGTAGTTTTATTTACAAAGTCCAAATTAACGAAACACAAAGAACTACCAGGCATGGAATTCTCTTTGTAACACAGAACACGAGGAAACACAGAACAGGAAACTCGCGAACACGAACAGCCTGACAGAACGAAATGAACAACGATCCAACTACAATGATCAAACACAATCACAGTCACAATCACAATGATCCAACCACGACAGAGTGAGGGAGAGGGGTATATATACACAGGGAGCACCAGGTGACATAAGTGAAGCTAATTACCAACAGGTGAGTGTGATCCCACAGATAACCCCACAAAGACAACAAGAAAAAAGGAACAGACAGACATGACAGTAGGGGGTACTGTCATGTCTGTCTGTTTCTTTTTTCCTCCTAATGGACGTCCCCCGGACGTCCAAAAGCCAACCACGAACCCTCTGGGTTGGGTGGGAGGGATACCAAAACTGAAACTGAAACAAGGCCTATTCAAAAAAAAAAAAAAAAAAAAAAAAAAAAAA